ACCTAAAGGCACACTTTACAATGCCAATAAGAAGATAAAGATATTCAAATACGTGATATTGGCGTAAGAAAACGGCAGAAAAGAAACCATTGAATCCCTCTTAATAAGACCCCTTGTTTTGTACGAGATTGTCTACACTCCGAATAGTTGACTGAATTAGCCCGCGATGTCCACTCTAAGAGACCAGTACACGATAAACTCGTCTTTAGGTCAGTAAACAAAGTCTTTCGGCATTTAAAATGAGCCTTACCACTGCAAAATCCTATCTACCCAGGTTTTAGCCCCCAGTGGAAGGAGACCTCACCTTAGACCACGAAAATTCATATTCATTCAGCACAACCTTCGCTGCTCGAAGATATCGAAGAAAACCTAGTTCTTCCGGTCGAAGCACCAGCAAGGCATTACCCCTGAAAACAAAAGATAACAGCAAAATTAAACAAAAGAAAGAAAAACAACCAATCATACCGCCCATCCTTCCCTCGTGCTGTTCGTCCCACTCGGTGAATATACTCTCGTGGTTCATCTGGTGGGTCGTACTGAACAATCCAGTCCAACAGCTGGGATGTCTAAACCTCTGAAATTCGATTGTTCAGTACATACTGCAAGAACCTTTCTAGATGCGCCGAGTTTTATGTGAAACAAACCTGGCGGCAACATCAGTACATAACAATATTCCAGTTTCCGCTTGGCAAAACTGGAAAAATGTTGACGTTCGCTTTGCTTGTTTTTGCTTGCCCTAAAAAGGGAAAGAAAATGTCTTTTGGATCGCTATAGTTAAACAGAAAAGCACAATGCTTGGTGAAACTCACATGGATAGACATACAAGGAATGTCAATATAATTCAACAGTTCATGATGGTACTTCACCGAATTACAGGAAGAAAAGAACACCATTACCTGAAAATAAATAGGATCATCAAAATACTGAAGGCACTCAAACGCCCAAAATATGACGCTAGTGGAGTTCAGAGGGACACGAAGAGGTTTGAGCCCATTCTGGTCGCCTGGACATTCTAACGTTAACCACTTAGGTGGAGGGAGCACCGCAAGACCGCCCTTCATCACCTCAGTAAGAGAACGCAGACGAACAAACTGAAATGCGCAGTAGCGTAGCCCCCCCCCCTTTCAACTTCACTAGCGCTCAAAGTGCTTCGTCAAAGCACCCACGAAGACAGAACAATAAACTCAGAAATTCGGGAAAAAATCTCAGAAAAAAAAGTGAAATTTCAGAAGAACTATAAAGTTACCTTCTTATTTTTGTTTTTCTTCAAGAAGGTGAACAACATTAAAAATCGCTTCTCAGATGGACACACAACATACCCCTATAACGATCAAGCTAAAACTCCATGAAATGAGACAACGGAGCAAATTCCTCCAAAAAAAAAAGAAAAGAAAAACCTGCAAGAGCATAACATACCTGCTGCAGCCCTTCCACAGTTGCAGCTTCACTTTTTTCTGCCACAGACAGCTTAACTGGATTCGAATGAAGCGACAGTTTTACGAGTTCATCAACCTACAACATTAGGGCGCAATGAACGAAAGGAAATACGAAAACCAGAAAATTGAAGATGAAAATTGCTAGGAAATACCTTAGGAGTGTGAGTGGCTGAGAAAAGCATGGTCTGACGTTTCTTCGGCAAATAGCGGAGAATCTTAACATGAAACGGCATTAGAAAACGAAGGAAAACATTTTCGGCATTTTGAATACAAAACGTATTTCATATAATTAAAGGTACCAGTTCTCGACCCCTTCCCCTTTTTCTTTTTCTGCCAGCGTGACAAAATTTGTCTTCCCGAAACCAAGCTGAAGACACATTCCCGATGACTAGTTCATAAACAGCTTTCCCTACTGATGAGACAATAATGACCCCCCCCCTCCCATATTCAGCTTTCTAACACGGGAAAAAGAGAGAGGCGTCTGCATCCCCATCCTACAATACCATAGAGTTCTCCCTGCTCCCTTCCACTTCTCCGTGGTTTCCTCCAAATTCTGAGGGTGTTGACAGCGCACGTGGAACAATCAGTGGGAAAAACTGAGGAAAGTCAACGACTGATAACATTTTCTCAGAATAAATACTACCTTTTTCTTTCCCTGCCCTCCCCTCGCATGGGGATTTTGTCGCAACCCAATCTTTCCACAAGATTTAACCACAAGATATCCTATTTTCACCTATCGCGAAGGATTGTTTTGAGTTTTCTTATTCCCCTATTTCTTTCAGTTCTGCTGATAATAATCCAATATCACTATTTGTAAACCCAAAACGAGTGCTGCACTTGGATCTCTAGGCGAAAAATATTCTGCAGTGCTTAACAGACCTGTTGCATTTCTAGCTCAAAGGACCAATATCGAGGATTCGATCAGCTTCGTCAATCACGAGGCATTTCATGTTTTTCACTAAGAACGTCTCCGTGTTCTGCAGGTGATCCAACAGGCGACCAGGGGTTGCCACTAACACAGCCACGCCCTAAAGATAACCGTTCAATGAACAACTTGTGTGATTATAAAATATTTCAAAGGCCACTCAGTCACCGTTAGAAAGCGCCCTTTTACTCATCATGACCCGAAACTACGACAACTTCCGTCAGGAACCCACCTTTGCCAGTTTTTCCTGCTCAGCACTTCTATTCGATCCTCCCATCACCAAACCATGACTAAGATTTGTTCCTGGAAATGTTCCAAATCCCTTTCAAACTCAATTAAGTGATAAGGCATTATTCAAACATATTAGTTGTACACAAAATAAAATAGTTAAACAAAGAGCTGAGGCGCTGTTTGGCTTGGGAGCGGCATTTTGTCTTTTCGCGAGTTTCTTTCGCCAGTTCCTGTTAACTTACACACTTTACCTTGGTGAGACCTGTAAACTCTTGTCATACGTAAACGAAGCTCCTGCTATTGCATAGCTTTACAGGAATTTACAGGTCTCCACAGAAGGCATTGGCAGTGATCAATGGGAACCAGCAAAATGCCCCCACCAAGCCGAACTGCGCCAAGTTGAATAAAAAGCAACTTTGTAGATCATGCAAGAATTGTTACCATTACGAAATCTACTTACCCTCCAGCAACTCTGTGAGCACCCCATAGGTTTGCATGGACAATTCACGAGTAGGCGATATAATTATAACTCCAGTACCGTTGTACTGTTTCCAATCGAGCTTCAATAATAATTCGATGGCTGGTATCAGGAAAGCCAAGGTTTTTCCAGAGCCTGTCTTGGCTGATGCCAGAATGTCACGGCCCTTAAAAAACAACGCTTACTGATGCAAAACGGGCAATTCAGCAGCCACTAAAAAGGCGAAATGGAGCATAATTGAAAGCAGAGGAATAAGACGCGTCCACACACTGCGAATGAGGAAGCTTCATACACCGAAGGCAAGTTTGAAGCATTTGGGACACTCGGAGATTCAAGAGACTGCACGAGGAAGCAAAGTATAGGTATTTTATGGCGATTGCGTAAAAGCAGACGATTGGCTTTTGAGTGACTTCAGCAGTGCGCTAATGAAACGCTGGAGCCCTCCAAACGCGAATTTTCTTTAGCGCAAAGTATGAACGCGGCCTTAGACTGAATACGAGCCAAAAGTGCCTCTAAAAAGAAGAAAAGCTGCAAAATAATAGGTAAATGAAACCGAACAAACCTCTAGTAATCGCGTTCATGTTTTGTTGGAATCTCCGTCTAGACGTGAATCCCATTTTACGAACAGCATCGAGTAATTCGGTCGTTCACTTTACCCATCAAACTATCAAATACTTTCCCTCCAGCGAAGAAAGAATCAACGTCATTCGATGGCGGTGCAGACGACGGAACCTGGGCCGCATCGGTAGCAGATCCATTCTAAGAAAAAATAAATAAATAAATATTTCAAATAAGGAGCCGGTAGATTCTTCGTTGGCGTCATCATGCACCTCTTCTTTCACATCTGCTTCTTCCTCTTTTTGTTTTGGCAAGCTTCTCCTTCTTTCGCATCTTAGCCTGAATTGATAGGAAATGAATCACCGCTCTAGTGAACTAGCTAATAGGTTGAAAAGTAAAAAAAAACATTGAACTGGTTGAAAATCAAACCAAATGAAGAGTTATTGATGGGGAGGGGTAGAGGGTAGTTTGCTGCGGACGTGGCATTTCGGAGGGGTTGGGTACGGCGCAGCGCCTCCATCAGCTGTGGGAGCTGGAATGTGAGGCCAAGCTAGCTCCCTCCCCCACCCTCCCCGAAACGCTTCAACGTCCGCAGCGTAGTGAATACAGCTGCGCACATTCTCGAAGAAGTCAATACGAGAAAAGCAGCAAAAGGGTCAACTGTGTATTGAATATTTTCAACGGACTGAAGTGTAAATCTAACGGATGGGCTTGAGAAACAAAACATTCGGAAATCACGCGACTGCGACTTGTCACGCTACATCGTTAATCGCTGAGCCAGTGCAAATGCTAATTGAATCGCATTCAGAATAAAACGTATTTCGAACTTTGCAGCGGTCCAATAATTAGGGCTGGGCGGGGTCAGTCGCAATCGCGGACTGAGTTACTCGAGTCGCGAAGTATGAATGCTAATATGAAGTCGCGAATATGAATGAAATTAAGTAGAAACCGTGGAAATTACCTGGCTGGCCTTCATCTTGTCCAACTTCCGCTTGAGTACTTTCTTCTGAACGTCAACACCCATCTAAAAATTTATTTTTTTAATACTATAATATCACGAATTACCGCGTATAACAATACGAACAATATGAGTAAAGTGATAACAAAATCAACAATCAAGACTAACAGAAATTACAGCGACATTGATAACTATCAAAATAACACATCGTGTGCAACGACAGTTAGGAGCTATGTGTCTTGGACGGGGTCGGTGCAGTCTTCCGTTACGGCAACGGTAGTCCGCAATTTCTAAGGGGCGGGGGCTCTTGAGCGACTTCGCCCCCGCTTATTTCAACTTCTCAAGGGCCACCGTCACTTCAACGAAAAAATGTTGACTACCCCAGCTAATTCGAAATCTATTCAAAGCAACAACGCGGAATTTTCATGAGGTGATGTTCAACAAGTGTAGGTGTGAGGGAGCACTGCGCATAGATTCGTATAAGGACTCGCGAAAAGGTACATCTATTGCAGACTGCGCCTCTGGGCACTAAGTAGTTGGAGGGGAGCACCAGGCCGGGGCGAGTACAGTCTTTCGGAAAGGGACTACAACCTCAATGGTAGGAAGAGTGCAACCAGGCGACCCCCCCCCCCCAGCGGCCAAAATGCGACCACTATCGATGCCCTCGTTTAATGCCATGGTGTGCGCAGAGGCTAGTAGCCCCCTCTACCTAAAAAAAAATAAAATGCAAGCATCAATCAAATGTCAAGAATAACATAAATATCACATCGATCATCCTTTTGATGAATTTGCATATTTGAATAGGTAATAGCTTTCACGTCGGTGAGTTGAGTATGCTTTTCCAAGTCGAAACACTCTCCAAACACTTGAAACTCAGCCGACCACGTCTCCAAATCCAATTTTTCTACGATAACTCGTCGTCCTACGAAAAAGGGCTCAGACTGGAACCCACAAAGAGCTTCCTCCATTATGGCACACACTAGTCCTTGCATATCATTGGCCTTAGCTGTGTAGAACATTGAGAATTGTTCCTCGACAAGTTCCAGATCGGTCATATAACCATAAGTCGCAGTCACAGCTTGTGCAAGGGCTGATGGCCACACTCTCGGACCCTCACGAATGGCACCTGCACATCCGGCTGGAGTTCCAAGGTATTGGTAACTGAGCTCCGCCTCACTGTTCTTCCATCATATTTATGCGTGATGTAGTCGTCAACTTTCTCCATGTCTTCCAACCGTTGTAGTCCAGCATGGACGGCTCCTTTAATGGAGTGAAGAATGGGGAGGGACGACGCGAACATCCGAAAGTAGTCGTTGGCCTCGTTGTTCACCGGCCATTCGTCACGAGGAAAATCTGAAATAACGATCGTTAAGTGAACCGCTAAAAAGCAAAAAACACACTATTGACGACGAGTACAAGCAGGAAAACACCACGACCTTCACACTTCTAAAAGTGTTCCTTTCCAAACCGCTGTGGCTAAGCGGTCTAACATTAACTTAGGGACAACAATTTGGCACTATTCCAAAAAAGGGTGTGACGCTAGGATTTGGGAATCTATCCTCAGCGAACACGAGACTCACTCAAAGGCGTCGAGCGTGGCGAGGGAAGGATCTACGCCGACACCTGGGCTCCTTAGCGATGGGGAGGGGTCGTATTTGCTTTTGAGAAGACGTTTCAGCTGACCTTCAGCTTGGTTTCTTCCGTTTCAGCTGCCGTCGCTACACTATCCCTTCCTCCGCTCCGCCGCAGCCTCGACGGCAAGTTTTGCTAGAAAAACAGTAGAGAAGCCTTCCTCCTCCTGCGCGCTCGGACGGCAGTTTTGCAGAGAAGAAACAGTGGAAAACTTTCCGGGAAAAAAAAGTATGCTTAGATGTAAACAAGTGAAAAGTTTGCAGTTTAGGAATACAGCCAAGGCGAGGATGGAAGATGGGGAAGAGAGGGGGAGTCCGTACTAAAAGAAAAAAAAAATTTGAGGGGTAACCGCTTCTACTGCTTCTCCCGTTTTAGAAAGGTTATACAGGGAAAAGCTCGCTCGCCACTGATCGAAAAAGGGAGGGAGATTCGGGGGTAGTAGGACGGCACTTTATCTGTTAACCCCCAATCCGGAGCGCTCTTTCCCCTCCGCTTGACTTGAGCAACAATTCACCTTCCATTGCCTCACTATAGCTTCTAGGCACTTTTTAGCACTAACGACAATCCTCGTCAAAATAAAAATTGAAGAAATTGCGTAAAAACTTCGGCAGTTCGTAAATTACTTTACAGATTCAATGAACTACTTGCGTAACTGTGTGGAAGAATCATTCTGAATATGATATTCCCCCTATAAGTGAAAAATAAAACCCCGATCAAGGACGTTGTAAGTGGTAGAAATAAATGATATGGAAACCTGCTGTGCATCTAACTGCTTATTAAGAAAATGTGAACGGTGTTTTTGGACCGAAATACTCGATGGCTCTACCATCAAAACTTCAAGGAAATGACCTACCACATATGTACCCAAACCTAAAGCACTGTTACGCAAACACTAAATCGTGCGCCTTTAGTAGAATTGAAGAGCAGCAGTTTTACGTCGCTGTCTTACAACACACCAGGAAAGAAATGAGCCTTCAAAGAGGAAATTCGAAAATTTTAAGCTGAAGTTTTCAGGTATAAAGAGAAGAAGGTGGACGAAATACGCCTGCTGGGAAGAACATCAAACTATCTCCTGCGAAAAACCAAGTTCATTAAAGGACGCGAACTTGGTTTCGGGTAACGACGGTTTAGAGGCGGCGCTTACTGCGCACTTGCAGTCGTCATCTCTTCGTTCGGCGAATCTTCACGGTTTATATCCAACAATGCAGTAGAAGTTCCCCACGTCCAGTGCTTCAGCATCCCATATCACTCGTGTTGCACCCCTTCTGACAGAGAGAGTAGCGTCCCAAAGCGCAACTTTAAAGACAGCCCCCGCGCTCGAGTAATACATAGTCGTCCTCCCTTGAGCAAGTAGTACAGCCCTCAGCTAGAGACTGTCCCCACTCTATTCGTCTGCACAGCGAGCGAGAAGCGAGCTACAGCCGCTGTAAGTTCTAGTTCTAACGCCTGCTCAGTTGGACCGCCTTACTTGCTAGATGTCCTCCGACGGAGGCCACTCAGTTGTTCTTAGTTGGGGCGGCGGGCATTGCTAATGCCCATGGATAATTCTGGTTTTTCCTCCCCTTTTATTACAGTTTACTCATTGGAGGTATATACATTCAATTCAACTCATTTCGCGAGGTGAAACGCGTAAAAAGCACGAGTGACGCAATTTTCGTGATGCAAAACCTCGACGCACAAAACGTGCGCTACCGTAATCCCAAATTCAGACACCGCGTTGATAAAATTCCTTTTTCCTTCCAAGAGTTTTTCCTCTGCGTTTTTGTTGTTTTCTTTTTGTATTCTTTTTTTTGCACTGGATGATATCAACTACTGCGAGATGTGATAGAGAGATTTGTGAGCTAGGGGTTGCACAGAGACCGCAGGGAGGTGTGACTGTGAGGGAGCGATTTTATTTATGTTGTTCTGGAGGACGCTTCTTGCCTGTTTTCTTCTTTGGGAGATTACTTATCAGCTACTGTTTCATAATTGGAAAGCAGCTATCCATGAGACTTTTATCGCGGGAGCTGTCTTTAAGCTGTATAGCACGTGTGCAGAAATTCTGCGAGAAACGCTTAGAGATCAAAACTCTCGCCTCTTCCGTTGCTAATTGGTGGGGGGGGGGGGGGAACCACCCAAGCCTAGCCTCTGGCATTCCTTCCCTAAAAAGGTTATTGTTAGGCTTAAAGCAGTCAGAGGACCAGAAGCCGCTGAGAGATAGTCGCGATCAGGGAGGAAAAAGGCGGCTGCAGTCTGTCGAGGGGGTGGGGCAGGGGAACATTTCTGCTTTCTATACGAGTGTGCGCCGGACGCCATCTAGGTACCTTTTTCTCGAGTTGACACGTTTTAGATGGTGGATAAACGATCTTGCTCCAGCTTCACAAGCGTTCGCAAGTTTTACCATAGTGATATTTGTAAACCGGAACTAGGGAAGCAATGGTAGTACAAAATGCCCCCCCAGTCGACAAACAGCTCCGATCTAGTCTTCGGTGAGCCTAAGCCTTTGATTAGAGGAATGGCTGCAGAGGCGGTGTCAAGTGGCCCCCATCCCTTCTCCCAAACTACGCTAGCGTCGGTCTTACCCGAGTAAGTTTCATGGGTACAATTTGAACCACTGAATTCCTTCACACTAACTTAGTATTTGAGAGATAAACGCATACCTTAAAATAGTAATGAGGATGCTCCAGGATGTCAGACTTTTTGTAGTGCAACCTCTCCAGGGTTGAAATTACCCTTTGAAAATCTTCCCTTCCTTTATAGAGAATATTGTATAAAACACTCGCCATCGAACTTTTTTGGTGCAAACAGGGGCGGTTACCGAACAAGGCTGATCAATAGGCCAAAAATAGACTTCTTTATATAATATCCTTCCAATGTCTTGTGAGCCAGCTCGTCGGTCAAGGTCCATTGGTAGCGCTCAAGAAATCGCCTTCAAAAAACACTCTGGAGGTTCAAATGAAAATAAACCTGGGCGCTTTCACCTGGTAGGGACATTTCCAGTTTGCCCGTTCCCTTTGCTAGTTTGTGTTAACTAAACAGGTTACACTTTGGTGAAACCAGTCAACCCACGTGAAGTCCAAAAAAGAGGAGTCTAGCCTGTCCATGTTTTGCTGTGTACCGTTTGGTGCCACCACCAAGCCGAACTTCTAGCCAGGTCAGACTTTATAACCCCAAACTTTCACTATGCCTTCATTTCCCTTGTTCAAGAGGTCTTACCCTGTTCCAGTTGGCGATACGATCTCAGCTGGAACGATAAACACCATCGGCGAATTAGTTCTAGTACAACTTTAAAAAAGTAACCGATAGTTCTGGCTAACTCAAGGACAAATTTTTCTGAAATAAACTAAAAACCTGGATCTATTTATCGAAATCTATTTACACAGATCTACCGCGGCAGTGCAACTAATAACTTCTACAATTTGTACAACAGCTATGTACAGTGGTCTAACCATGCTGAGCGCTGCTCCGACAAAAAAGTCAAGTTCTTCAGAAGAAAATAGAAAAAAAATCATACCAATCACTAACTACTTATAAACACGCACACACCGGATAATACAAAGTAAATGGAAAACAAGTCAAAAAAATTCCTGACGACGACACGACAAGCTACAGTTACTGGCTTTGTATACATTGCCTTATAGCGCGTTCATATTTCGCGGTCTGATCGCTTGGATCGCGCCATCCAAGAGATCGGAACGCGAAGTATAAACGCGCTGTTACACAACAGCTTTGAATCCGAGGTTCTATACGATAAATGAAATGCATCAGTAATGGAATAAGGAAAACTGCCGGTAAATAGAGGAAGATAGACGGAATATGACAGTGGATTATGCACGTATTGATTAGTTATTCCTCGTCCAAGTCCCACAACGATTCGCCCGCGACTCCATTTTGCGATAGTGCACGACAGGACAGCATCATCAAACGCTTGAGAGATTTGTTGTGAAAGAAGAAATTCAAGCACCACAGGCAGCCGTCCTCCGAGAAAGGATCATCAGCATAGTTCGATTTGAAGCTGAAAACAAAAAAAAAGTTAGATGAATACGGAAGAGCACCGAACATCACTTAAATCTAACATAGAACAGAGCTCTGTGTGAAACGGAGGTGGTGTAGAGGCGCCACTTACTACGCAGGTGATCCGGTGATGGGATGGCGGACCCTCGTGGATGGCCAAGGAAAACTCCCGTCCGTCCGGGGCCAGTAAAGCGGTACAGGACTTGTACGATAAAGTAACAACTCTGATTTACAAATGCTTGCAGTAACAGATCGTCTAGGTTTCGCAATCATTGGATAGACCAAATCGCATGCAAAATGCCTTTATAATTGGGAATGGACTGCATGTAACAGCCCTGACGGCATTAATAATCACCTAAAGGTTTCTCCCCTCATCACTCGCTGTTTTTAAATACCTCAACCATTCATCACTTGCTTGGAGGCAGTGGAGGGAGGAAGGAAGGAACGGAGGGAGGGGCAGGGGGGGGGCTGAATGGCTACAACCTAGACCAAATGACCCAGAACATAGCGAATAAGAGAAGGGTTCATCTGAAAACTCGCATGACACATTCTTTGCACTGGATGGAAGTGATTGACTAATGGTAAGGGATATTTGGCAAGTGCACACGGTCTTTCTTTACCATATTCTGACCATTACAGCGCATCGTCGTAATAGGAAAAAATTTTTGTTCTGCCCCTACCCCAATCAAAAATTCTTTCGGACGATGAGGCGGGGGAGGAGTAGAGAGTAAACCTGCAAACCATCGTTGCAAAAACAGAGGAAGGAGAGTAAACATGACAAATTTCCACCGAAACGTCGTATGCTGGAGATCCCCAGCGAGGGGAAGGCGTATCTGGTCGCTGAACGGAAGGAGTCGTCTGTGCGTTTGTGATAAATGTTTTTGGTTGCTGACTTTCTCGGTAACATCCGCGCTATCCCCTCCCCGCTGCACAAAACTCTCGACGGCAGTTTTTTTAAGGAAAAGCTGGGATGTGGTGGAAAAACTCCCTAGAGGGGATAGGACACAGGGGAGATTTAACGAGATAAAAAGTAGGATGGGGATCGCGAAGGGGTTCGTACCTGAGGAGGAATTTCTGAAGGTCGGGTTGTATTTTTGCGAAATTTTCCTTCGACGTCAGACGTGAACTGGCCCTCCCCCTTAACACGATCCTCTGACCACAGGTAGACTAAAATCCAGCCTCTGCTGATGATGTTCCCTGTTAACCAAAGCGGAGCCAGTTTCCTCACGAAAGCATTGCTGACGTCATAGCAAGCCAAGATTGCCCAGAAAGCCCACCTGTATATCCGACAATCGTTTGGTTGAATTTCAGCGTCGATAGCTAACCAGAGTTCGTCACGTATAGACGCGTAGCCATTCACAGTCGCGTAAAATTTATTGTCTACCGCTTCCATCACCACCTGGAGCAAAAACACATTCACCAATTAATCTTACTGTACTTTTAATACTTCGAGAAAGTGAAGATGAGAATAGTTCTCTTACACTACGCCATACCGCTCAAGTTTTCATGGAAAATGTCTAAAAGAAACATGTACGTTAGCTGTCCGGCTTAGAAGGGGCATTTTTTGCTTTCGCTAGTTCTTTCCACTGGTTCTGTTGACTAACAAGTCACACTTTGGTGGGACCTGTAGTTTTCACAAGTATTTCCGTACAAGCTTAGCTAGGTATCAATCGCTGCCCTCACCAAGCCGAACTGTGCAGTAAAAACAGTAACAACTCGCCTCCACATTCGGAATTAGAGAAAAGCTATTGCTCTTCACATCACTGAAATCATAATCGGGATAGGCTATATTCAGAGCGCCGATCAGATCGAATAACGTTCGCTTCGATATTGAGTCCAAGAGCACGAACTGGAATGCTGTTTATGACCAAAGAAAACGGAACTCATCAACGAGAAAGGAAAAAGTAGTGAAGAAGTGTTCTCACATCATCAGCATCCGTCTCAGATCCAGAATGGCCCGCTTCAGATAGATGGCGCATTCTCGCCGAATGACCGATCGGAGAGGCAGATATTGACAAAAAATCATCGGGAGGGGATAGAGGCTAAAAAAACGCTGACAATTGTTATTTCCGATCTCGAGGACGAGCCACTGTTAAACAGGATAGACAGCATTTCACGAACTTCGGCATGTTCTGAGGCCTTTGATAATGACGATTTTACCGAAATATTGCTGACAAACGTAATAATGACTGTACTTTAGTTTGTGCGGCTACAAGCTTGCCATTGATCTCTGCGATGCCCTGGTCGGAGAAATGAGGAACCTCGACAAGGGAAGCATACAGTCTTGTTCATTGTGGACGCTGCGCATTTTAGTGGGCTGGATTTGGCGTGTTTCCCATCAGTTGTGGTATCTTCCCACCTTCCTCAGGTAGGGAAGAACAGGTTCGCACAACGTTAAACTCCTAAAACGCCACAACGAACAAGACTGCATGTGTCGATCCGAAGAAATGGAGGAATCGCGAGAAAGAAGCCCAACAATCAAATTCCGACTCCCCACATAGTTAGTCAAATAGTATATATGCAGTTTTTCCGCGGATTACCCTTCTCCTCAAAGGTATGAAGATTCAAAGATTTGCAATGCACGAAGGCGACCTGCAGGGACGTGGGGCCTAAAAGAAGGATAAATTTACGCTGAGCGTACAAACTCACGGTAAAATGGCGGTTACGCAATTTCTGTGGGACACTAGGCAGCGCCTCCGTCCGTTCTCCAAACGTAGGGTTAGGCCTAGCTAGTTGAAGCTGAGTTTTTTGTGAAACTACCTTTACCTGGCGGTCTGGGCTCCAGCCAAATCTTCGGTTTGGGGAAAGGGGTAAAACAGCAGACGCGTGCCCCTCTCCCCCCCCCTACCCTCCGCCGGCAAAAAAAACTACAGGCGCTTCAAGTAATCCGCGTTTACAGCGGAATCGCAAACTAAGAGAGAACTACCAAGAAGAAATAAATGGGAATAAATATAGCTGTATCAAGTTTTGCCGGCACTGAAATGAATACACGAAGGCGCAACTAAATAAATAAAAACGTGTGAAAAGGTAATTGAATAAATACCTGTCTCTCATTAGCGTGATTCGATTCGTTAGATCCACCATAGGCCTTCCATTGCTTCTTGTCACTTTGCACCATTTTACATGAATATGACTCCAGTCTGAACCGAGGAGCAGTTTGGCACAGTAATGGTCACATCAGGTCAATGTGGATTGTTCTTTAAGTTCAATTTGCGCACTCCAAATCGCTTCAGCTCGTCACCCAGCACGATCAATGGAAATACCAGTGTTGAGAGGGGAAGGCTAGGGGAGGAACTACGCAGCGAGAATAGGATGCACTCACTCTGATCGTCTAGTGCTTCAAAAAAAAGCGTGTTCTAAGTGTATAAAGAGAGGGATCGTCGGCTACTGGACGGGGGCGGGGGCGCCACCGCCTGACTTATGTTGGTCTGCCATCTGCTTTCTACTACCAAAATAATAGGCATCAAATCAGTATTGTCTTTTCTGTCCACACACCACCCCCCCCCCTGTGCAACACAGGGGGGGGATGGTGTGGACAGAAAAGACAATACTGATTTGATGCCTATTTTGGTAGTAGAAAGCAGATGGCAGACCAACATAAGTCAGGCGGTGGCGCCCCCGCCCCCGTCCAGTAGCCAACGATCCCTCTCTTTATACACTTAGAACACGCTTTTTTTTGAAAAATTGCAATCGGTTCTCTACGACCACAACTGTCATCATCTGATAGTAACAGCCGAGAAACTCTGACCTCTTCCCACCGCTCGATTTCCCTTCCTTCAGCGCAGGTTAAACACGCCCTCTGCACAAAGCTAAGTTTTGCTTTTTGGCGCAGCTCACTGGGTTGTCCTCTCATAGTTTCGCGGCCTTCAGCATGTACTTGGCGCTTTCGCTCGTTCTCAATCGCTTCAGAATGACAGCTCCTGGCGCTATTTCAGTAACGAAGCGCATTTTGGTGCAGAACAACCTAGACATCCAAATTCACAAGACCGCAACTTTTAGCTTGAAGAGCCACTCCCGCGCTTACAATGGTTCCTCCGCACGTTTCAGCGCTAAACGTCCCACCACATTGAACAGCGCTCGGCTCATTTTTCGCATATCGATTACATTCGCTGTGAGGAACTCCTGACTTTCCTTCACCCCAGATTATTTGCCATTTTTCCAAGAATTACATTATCCCACCATTTTGATGTAATTCAATAACTTACCAGCAAACCCATCCCCTCCCGCTACACTTTGAAGC